GCATCAGGCCACAAGACGTTAGCCAGCTCTGACAGCAAAGCTGCGCTGCGTTTCCCAGCCGGCCGAGGCCACCTGCCAGCGCTCACCTGGGAAAGGGGTCAGGGCGCAAACGTTTCAGCCACAAGACCGCGCGGGGGGCACCTTTGCTCTCCCTGCAGCTGGAGCAACCCCTGGCACTGAACCACTCTCCGAGTGGTACCTTCGCACCGCCTCGACTTTTGACACACTTTTGCCATCCAAAGCCAGTGCGACGGGGCCAGGGTCTCTGCTGAGCAGCACTGATGTGATTACGGGGCTTGGGCAAGAAATCATTTTCCTGCCTGCCTGCCACACACAGTTTTGCCATCCTAAATCAAGACAGAAGGGCAAAGCCTGGAAACTCACACAGATACAAAGTCTGAACAGCAGTCTCCCTTTCCTTTTGCCAGTGAGCTTTTCATTAGAATTGGATTGATTTTCAGAATTTTTACAGAATTTCTTCTTAGGGAGAGATTTCTGTTTTGGTTTCAGGGAAAATGTTCAGTTCCAGCCAAAACAGAATAGAAGGAGAAGTCAGCAGTTTCCTCAGCAAGCTCCAGAGCTTAGACCCAACTCTGCTTCCCAGCTTTGCCCTTGGGCCAGTTCAAGACTGTATCAAGCTTTGAGATGCACCACTTGATTTGAGCAGCAGGTAGAAACAATGGTACAGGGGGGAAATCTGGGCTCTGCGCAGGGTCAGCAGAAAGCCCCCAGACCGATCGGGGTCCCACAGGACACTCCCTCGCAATCCTATGCAAAGCAGTGATGTTGAAGCGCCCTTTCCATGTGCCTGGCCCTCAAGCAGCTACAGGCAGCTGAGCAAAGAGTCTCTGGCGTGAGGGGAGCTTAACTGCCCTCGAGTGCTGCTGGTGGCAGCTCCTAGAGCTGCGGCTCCGGCCCCAGGGCTTGCTCCCCCCGCTGGGGACTGCACGCCCCTCGCCACCTTCCCCTTGCAGGAGCTCTACAGCAGGGACAGGAGCTGTTTCCAGCACCCTGACCATGAAGTCGGCCAGCCCTGCTCTGTTGCTCCCCGCACCCCCAAGTCCAGTATGTTGCACGTGACCAGAAAGGAGGAGCCCTGCCGTCAACTGCGTTAACCCCAATGGTGTCAACGGGTCACTCCAACCCTGTGCATTTTGACTGGGCCAGGGAAAATAGCCACAAAGACAATAAAGCAAAAGACAGTCTCCCCAGAATCACTGTATTTATTTTCCACTCCAAATCAAGCCATGCCCGTTTTACAAAGACTTTGCTGTCCAGGCAGCTGATTCATCTGAAGGCATTTTGAGACACTTGCACATTTCTCCCTCCCTTTTGGGGGGGGGGGGGGGGGGGAGGAGAAAATTGGCTCATGGAATTGGTTGCAGAGAAGACGCACTGCCCAGAGAAGGCAGCTGGCTTCTGTGCTTCAGCTGCCACCTCTCAGGCTCCTCAGGCCCACCATTTCAGCGCAGTGTCACCAGCTCTTCTGCAGAAGTAGGGTGAATGGCAACCGTGTTGTCAAAGTCGGCCTTGGTAGCTCCCATTTTGATGGCCACAGCAAAGCCCTGCAGCATTTCGTCACAGCCCAGCCCTTGCATGTGCAATCCCACCACCTTCAAAGAACAAGGGAGATGGTGCATTCAGGAGGGTAGGTGGGTAGGCAGCCCTGCTCCAGCATGGCTGGAGCCCACAGGAAGTCCAAACTTTCTCCCGGCCCTCTACACGTGCAAGTTTTGCCAACAGGCCTTGCTCAACTTGAGGCCCTTACAGAATAGGGTCAACTCCAGATCTTTGGCAACTGGGAAGTGAAACATTTACTGCATCTAAGCCCTTCCACAAGGAGCCCCAATACTGTCTTCCTGGAAGCGCCCAGCCAGAGCGTTTTCAGGATTAAGGCTACAGCCAGTAAACGCTTCCTTTTAAGCCTCTAAGACGCTCTATTCTCTAGCAAAAGGCAAAGTCTAGACTAAATATCAGGCTTGGTGTGGAGGCAGGTGGATCCAAGTTAGGTTCTAACTTGTGCATGTCAGAGCAGATCACACAGAACCCTTCTGGCCCTGAAACAGGCCAGTAGCAATTGTGTACACAGATAAATACTAGTAGTCAAACACAGGGAAAATATGACAATCAGTGGTATTCCCAGCAGTGTCCCTGCGAGGGGCCCTCATCTCACTCCAGCTGACAGCTAGACAGACATAGTCGAGGTCTGAAGGACACCCCAGTCACCTCCCTACAGCACTCAACCAGATCCCCCCTAGCCCCTCACGCACCTTCTCTTCCTTGCCAGCACAAACCAGTTTCATGACACACTTAGTCTTCCTTTTGGTGACCGCATGATACATGGGGGTAAACGAAGTGCTGTAGATCTTCACATTCTCTTTCCCATGCGCAGAAATGGCTTCATCTGCAAGAGGAGATACTGCGCATCAGAGAGCTGCAGCGTTACAGGGTATACCCACAAAGTGTTTGAAAAGATGAGTCAAAGGGCTTTTTCATAAGACTTTGACTGAGGACAGCTTTCTGGAGCTGAGAACATTTCCTTAATCAACAAAATAGTAAACTACTTATTACCGGAGTCACTCTGAGCTTCAATTTCCTTGGCCTGTTTCTGTAGTCCATCGGGTCCGTCAGTGTAAGTATCATGGACTCTCAAGCAGTAGTTTAAAGACTCCAGACTTCCAAAAGAGATCCAGCAGCTCTTCTCCAAAAACCAAGTCCCTTTATTAGGGACTTGTCTCTGGCCTTCCCTCAAGTACCCTTTTGTGGGTTTGCATCCCGATTTCTAGCTAATGGTATGGTGCACAATTTTAGCAGTAAAAGAAGGAGTGCTCCTGGGCAGCAAAGGTACTCTACAGGAAACTGTGCGACCATCCTCTGCTGCCACAGGACCACTGAGCTAAATGGCTAAAGCTCATTACAACACCATGCATGGATTTCTTTGCATTTTGCATTTCTTCGGTGCGTTCTCAAAGAGCTTATGAGCTTCCACCCCTCGCCATTTACTACAGGTGCCCCTTGCAGCAAACAGTTCACCTCTTCCCAAGGGGCATCCTGAAATAAAAGACAAGCTACAGTTTGGCTAGAAAAACAAGCATCCCCAGGAAGAAATTCTCAGCTCTCTCCCATGAGTGTGCTGGCTGAAGCACTACCTGTAGAGCAAGGAAGAGGAATTGCTCAGCAAACTGCAAGACCCTGTCAGGTTCCTGTTAAACCTCAGCTGCCAATAGCTCAAGCTCAAACTAACATTTGAGCTCAGTCCATGGAAAAATCAGATGCTTTTTAAGTCAAACATGCTGTTAAAGCAACCATTTCTCAGCATCTACCTCAGATGTGATGCCCAGAGGCAATTCTACCCCTCACTCCCTTAAAAATCAGGGCTTGGAGAACTATCAACACAGAGCAGGAAAACGAAGTCAGAACAGCACATCCGTCCCATCCCTACCTTCGGTGAGGCCCACGGTCCCAATGGGCGGGTGACTGAAAACGACGGTGGGAATGTTAGTGTAGTCCAGCTTGGAGTCCTGCCTGCCTTCGAAGAGCCTGTGTGCGAGCTTTCTGCCGGCTGCTATCGCAACTGTGGAAAGGGAAACAAGAGCCTGAGGCACAGCCCAGCTCAGGCCAACGGGAACCTGGTGGCAACGACCAAAGAGGCGCACACACATGCATGCATACATGTGCACGCACAGTAAGTTTAGGCAGAGGAAAGCAGAAGAGACTCTCCTTTGCAAAGTCATCCTTGTCAGGCTCTGTCACCACCAGGCCTCCTGCAGGAAATCCCTCTCCAGTTTTAAGCTCCTGAGGTCACAGTCTTGCTGATCAGGTGTGATGATGCGAGCAAACCTTTCCTCTCAAGGGCAAGGAACAGCAAGGTGACAGCAACACATTACCTGGGGTGAGGAGGGCTTTTCCACAGACGTCCCCAATAGCATAAATCCCTTTCCTCGTGGTGTTCTGGAACTCATCGACCACAATGTGACCTTTTGCATCCACTTTAACACCCTGCCATTAGAAACAGCGACGGTGTGAGTAGACACACAGAGCCCTGGGGAATATAGTGTGGCAGTTTGAAGGAAAGGTTGGTCCCAACAGCAACCTACAGGTCCCCATCAGGAGGGAGAGACAGAAACATGCAAATGTTTTGTGCCCATGCACACCATCAGGAAGCTCTATAAACACAGCCCAAACCAGCATCGAAAATGTTTGTGCCACTCACAGCAGCAGCTGCCTCAATTTTAGAGCCAGCTCAGGGCCACAGCAGGAACATAATCCTGCTGCAAGCTCCAGGTGGAGAAAGCGCTCTGTAAGCCCAACATGTGCAACAGGGCTGGGCCACTACATGCTGACATCCTCAAAACAGGGAGGGACGTGCTCCCATCTCACCACTCGGTCCAGGCAAAGCCCTTCCGTGTTTGGGACTCTCCCAAGGGCCCATAGAAGGCAGTCCACATCCTGGATCACTCTAACCGTTGGCTTACAGCCAGGCATTGAGGACGTTACTGTCACATCCAGCAACCCACCAGGGGACCTCGTGACTGTCTTGACCTGTGGGGAAGTAACAGCCAGGAGACAAGGTTAGAAGGTCCTGATGGCTTCTGTGGATGATCACCCTCTCTTTGAAAGAAACTGTGCAGTTTTGCCAGAGGAAGCTGAAATTGTATTCCCCATGAGCTCAGAGATGTCAAAAACCCTCTTTGCTGCCTTGTGTTCCTACTCATCTGTCACAGTTAGTGTGACAGACCGTTCAAAGGCTGGGCCAACCTCCTCCCCCGCGAGGCGCAACAGTGGCTGCAGAGGAAGTGGTGCTTGCAACAGGCAGGCTACTTGTGAGGTGACACAGGAGGTTGCACAGCACAGCCAGGGCTGCTGGCTGCAGCCAAAGCCACCACCCCACAAACAGTACGCAAAACGCAAGCTTTTCCTTCGGCACATTGCCAGCGCCCCTTCCTTGCGTCTCACGTGCAACGCGGCAGGCCAAGAGCTGTTTTGCAAGTCCATACCAGTGCGTGCTTCCACACGTCGACCCCGGTGTTCTCCAGCTCCTGTGTGCAGTTTGAACTGATCAATGAGTCAAACGTCCGCAGCACCTGGGCAGAAACCCTTATCACTTGGGGATGACAATCCATGTACAGAGGCGCTGGCTGACAGCCCCATCCATTGGCGTTTCCCTTCTATCTGTGTTCTTGCCCCATTAAGTCACAAATGTGTTGGGATGCTTCTGGCTCATGATGCAGTTTATTCCCCCCCCCCCCAACTTTTTTCCAGGTTGTGACCTGAAATAAAGTTAAGGGAAATCAGGCCAAGGGTACGCACTTCTACATAGATGCTCTGCACAAAGGTTGGTGTTGCACACACTCGACAGCACATCTACACTCTTGCTTCTCTCCCAGAAGCACCCTTCCTGGCCCATCCCAGGCTCTCATGCCACTAAGGACCACTGAAGAGCCTAATGACATCTTCATCTACATCTCCATTTTCACCTTCCTGATCCTCTGATTCTCCCTAATCATCATCATAAAACGTAGAAAAGTAACTAGCCCTCCCATCTGACAGCACACCTGCTTTTGGCTGTTCCCCTTGGATCTAGCTCCACATGTTCCTGTTATGTATCAAAACACTGAAACAGCAAGTAAACATGCAAGAGGGCCCAAATATGAACTTTTCCTCTCTTGCTCTCTCCACATGAAGCTTTTAACACTGCAACTTGAAGCAACGCGGAAGAACCAGTCTGCAGTGTGGCACTGTGGTATTTCTACACTCGTGCTCACTCAGACCCTCCTTCCCAAGGTCACGTGAGAAATCCTGATGCCCAGGAAAATACCCAGTGATTCTGCTCTGACCAGAGGCCTACAGCGCTGCCAGCTGGCTAGCAGGCAGCCGCAGAGCGCTGCGGCAGGAAACACTGCTGGGGATCGCTAACAGCAGTACCTTGTCATGACGTATCAGCAAGGAGGACTTGGAGCCCAGAGTGGAAAGGATCCCTGCTATTTCTACTGCAATGTACCCAGCACCAACAACAACGCTGCGCCTGTGAAGAAGCAATGATACCATGCACACACACACAGCTTTACAGTAACACTTTCAACCCAAACTGACAGTGTGAGGCCCTTCCCAGAAGCCCAACTCATCACAGGTCTTTGAAATGCATCTTTGTATCCTCCTTCTCCTTCCTCCTGCTAGTGCTCTGGTATAAGAGGAGGGAACCCATCTCGCCCTCAAGCTGCCTGGCACTCACAGCACAAACTTGCCATTTCACCAACCGCACGCCTCAAGGAAACCAACTTGGGTGCTGATCATCTCGTGTCTCTACCACATTGCAACACAGGGATTTCTAGTGTTGCAGTCATAGTCTGGGCTGGCTTGCATTCCTGTGGCTTTCTCAAATCACACCCTCACCTTCCCTCCCCCAGTGCAAGCAAAGGAAAGAGGAAGGAGGGCGGGCAGCCAGAGCTGCATGTTGTGCTGCAAGCAGGCAGGGCAGGGCTGAGGTGCTGCAAGCGGAAGTCGGCACACTGTGCTCAGGCAGGCAGGTCATCCCTGGGTCATTCAGAGGTGCTGAGACCATCCAGGTGCTGCGCCTAACACTGAAGAGACTTACTGAAATCTGACAAGCACCAGTGTCAAAGGCTTGGCAGTTTTTTTTCTGCCTCCAAAACGCAGAGACACACCAAGGGGATACTCCCAAGGACGGCAGTTCTGAACAGCTCATGTCAGGCAGTGCAGCAGGTTGAGCCTCGTAAAACACGAGACCCACGCAACCACCAGGCTCAGAGGCAGAGTCAAGGCAAGCCGAAAGGATTAGCGCAAGCTTGCAAAATGAACCAGCTGGAGACGCTGAGAAGTCACAGAGCACCGGGGACCACCTCCCTGCTCAGAGGAAGAGCACCACTTTACCTGGGCAGCTCTTCAAGATCAAAGAACCCATCGCTGGTGATACCCAGGCTGGCACCTGCAAAGCAAAGCCAACTTTCACGCACATCAGAATAAGCAGCCCTCCTGGTAGGAAGCTTCCCCAGCAGCCCTGCCCACTTGCTCTGCTTCTTACTTAAACCTACATCTCCTTCAAGCACTCTGACATCAAGGTCAGCTTTGGCTGATCTTTCTTTGGAAGAAGTTTTGCCTAGAGAAGATATGTGCACAATATTGCAGGGTTGGCAGGAAGAGGAAGAGTTTGAAGAGTGTGTTTTAACCACTTATCTCCCAAAATCCCAGCTGAGTGGAGATGCTGAGAAAGCTCTCTCCCTTGTCCTATGCTGTAACAGGCCAAGAATCTTTTGCAACCGCTGGCTGTCTTTCGAGTGCTGCAGTCAAACACAGAATCGGGTTTCAATGCTCCTGGCCTTCACTTGCCCACTGTTCGTACTTGACAGCCCCAAACGTCCCGAGAATAACCCCAAGCACAGTCTTTGCAGTAGGCTTTGGTAGACCTCTTTGAAGGCAACCCACAGATAAGACCAAGCAGGATCTTTACCATGGACAAGTTCTCCGCAAATGCAGGAGGCTTTCTAAAGCTGAATAATTTCCTTTTGAAAGATGCAAAGCAAGATGCAGCCCAAGTGCCATCTCTACCCTGCAGTGCTTGCACACTGTAACATTTCTTGCATCATGCAAAGACTTACCAGGAATTTCACTTTCAAGAGGGACTGATGGTTGCCCACCAGTAGCTACAAGGATGTGAGGAGCTGTGTACTTTTTACCATCAACTTCAACTGTAGGCTCTGGATCAGCCGTAAACTTTCCATAGCCACGAATGATTTCAATGTGAGCCTACAGAAATAATTGCAGGGAATCCAGTTATTTTATTAACCACAGAACTAGATGCTAGAGCCAGCTAATGAATCCTTCCTGCCTATGAGTTGCCCAGCTACAGAAGATAGATGAAAAAACCTGGAAGGCTGAAAAAGTGGCCAAAAAGGCATATTCTCCTGCTCTCTGGATCAGCAGCTCCGTTCCTGAGAATGGTGACCCAATTGATTAATACCATGCAATATCGCAACAGAGGCATCACACTCCAAAAGTCCTCTCCAAGTTAAGTCCTTATCTCACTGCTTTCTCAAACTGTCAGTCTGTCTCCCAAGCATCAGTAGCTTTCTAGAGAGTTAACAGCGGCCTGACTGCAGGCCATCAGCACACAGCAAGGCTGCAGGAGTATCTTTACCCCTTCCTCCAGACTGGGCATCGAACGGTTTCCTTGCTCTGCTTTGCAGAGGGAGAGCTCTTAGAGCAACCAGCTACCCAAAAACGGGCCCTCGCTCTCGTTCTGATCCCAGAGGGACAAATTCCACAGTTACTGCAATAAGAAACTTCAAACAGAAGCTCAAACTAAAAGTCTCAGCAATGCTCTTGTGGGGGGTCTGAGAAAATGCAGGTACACAGAGCAGACTCATTCCAGGCTCAGCTCACGGAACAAAAGTGTACTCACCTTGTTTACATTATTTTCGTAGATCTCGTTCAGGCGTCTCACATAAGCATCACGCTTTTCTTTAATAGTTCTGTAACAAAATACAAATTTATTATCACTACACATGTTCGTCCTCTCCTAATGAGCATATAGAGCTTAGCCAAAAGATTCAAATCCCTGCAGTACGCGGCACACAAGCCACAGGATAAAACAGATATTAGCCATCCAACAGTCATTAGCTTTCCCCCTCACTTACACCAGGTTTTCATGTCTTATCTGCCTGTTAAAGCTTTCTCCCCCACCAGGCATAAATGCCAAGAAACCATCTTTTGCTGAATCTTTTCAAAAGACTGTTTGCCACCCCTCTTCTAAAACACAGGATTCATGTGCCAGTCACATTACCAGCTCTACTGCAAACCAAGCTCAGCATGTCCACACCAAACTTCAAAGCAGACAGGAGCCTGACTTCTGTCGGAAACATGAGCTGGTCACCTGTCCCTGCTATGGGGATACAGCACCGAACTGCAGATGCTCAACCTTTGCTTCCCAGAGGATACACCCGAGACCTCACCCTGGCCTAAGGTCACAGGAAGTGGTTGCCAGCAGACACAAATGCAGCAAAATGTTTTCAGGAGAGTGAATGCAAATAGGCTGTTTTCCAACTCACCTCCAGTTAAATTTGCTGCCAGCCACCTCAAACCCGTAATCAGCGTGATCATGGATGAACTCCGCGTGAACTGCTGTGTTCCACATCACCTGCTCGCACAAAGAACAGCATGCTCAGCGCACCAACAACCGCAGCGCTACTTGCTTCAGGACAGACAAGTCGGATCAGGAGGAACAGTCTGATCTCCAGAAAAAAACAACAACATATGCCTGAAGGGCCTCAATGCCTGCCATGACAGCCCCCTAGAGTCAGTATGGGAGGGTAATCCAACTCCTGCTGGCTCTCAATGCCCCTTTACAAGCAGCACGATACATTTCTCCTCCACTGGCATGTACTGGGGCACCAAGGCCACGGTTTTTAGCTCTGCTGCAAGGCAGAGATGCATGCAATCCTCACAAAAGCACGTGGGCAAATGACTTGATCCTACAACCCAGCCCTGGGCACCTGAGACACCATAAAATCCACATGGCTCAGAGCACACAATTAGGCATCTTAAAACAACAACAACAACAAACAACCAAAATCAGATTCTGCTCTAAGATCCTGCTCTGGTATAAACTCGCAAGAGACTGGAAGTCTGTGAGCCAGGTTTGTCCTCTGAATCAATCCATCTGCAAAGCACATGGTACACAAGGACCCTGGAAAGGCTTCTCTGGTGGCTTCCCACATACGCATTTTTTTTTGTAGCGGTACAGAAACACCCGCACCTGAACGAATCCAAGGCCGAGGCGCTGAAACTGACCGCACAAGCTGAAAACAGCAGCGAAAGTACGCTTACCTTTTTGGGGACACATCCAACATTGACCTACGAGGGAAGAAGAGCAAGTCTTAGCACGCTTCAGCTCTGAAAGGCAATGCTCTGGAGAGCACCACGCATCCTCTCTGACAATCCCACAATTGGCACCAAACCCAACCCCTCTGCCTAGCAAAATAAAAGAAAGAAAAGAGAGGCAGGAACATGTGTTCTCAGAGGAGAAGGCAGCTGTAGCCATATCTGGAGGCTCCATATCTCCTAGTTTATCTTTCTTCACTTCCTTGAAGCGCAAGGCAGGTGTAAGGTCTTCGAGAAGAAGGTGCTTTCTCGTTCAACCGTTTAAAGGAAGTTTCGCCGAGAGAGCGCAGCTCAACACTCGTTTCCTGTGCTTTCAGGCCGAGCGCGGCCACTCTTGCAGGCGCAAAGCTGGCTCGCTGTCCATATCCCTCCCTTCCCCC